GAGGATTCCTCTTTGTTCCAACATTTTCTTTAGTCTTTGGTGCCATAGAAACTATGGGATAATTGAAATAGGTAGGCTTATGTGAAATTAAATAAGAATTTGGTGATTGTAGATGATAGTTAGTATAATATATTTAAGAGAGGCAAAAAAATTGAAGGAATGTAGTAGTTTCAAAAAAAGGATCAATTTTCTATAGTGAAAAGAATAAATGGAGATTTTTGTGTGATTTAAAAATTTTTAAGGATGATTTTTGCAAGAAACCAAGTTAAAATGAAGCAATTTACAAAAGATTTTGGTTATGAGAAATCAATTTTGAGAGAAAATAAAGCAAGAATTTATAGGATTTGAGGAAAATGTGTTTGGGAAAGAAGAAGAAGAGATGAAAAGCTAGAATGATCAGCCAAAAAAGAGAGGGGACTCGATTTTGAGAGACCAAAATAATACGCATAGTGCTAGTTTTGTATGACTCGATTTATCGGTTATGAAAGGGGATCAATCGGGTATAGGTTTGCCATGAACCGATCAATCAGGTTCATAAGGGGGATCGATCAGTTCCTTACATTTTCCACTCAGTTTGGTTATTGGATGGAGACCCGATTGATCCGATCCAAGGGGGATCGATTGGTTCCTTAACATTTTCTCTTAATTTGGCTACTTGATGAAAAACCAATCAATTCGGTCTAATGGGGGATCGATCAATTTTATCTGTAGCAATTTTTTTAAAATAATTTAAAAATCATACAACATGAACATTTAAATATGCATCATGCAATCATACACAAGATTTAAAAAAATGTTAAGATAAACATACAATTGATCAATCAAGGTAGCAACATTCATCATACCATCAAGAAATTCATTTCAAAGAGAATTCATCATACCAAGTTTAACTTTAATTGCATAAAATCTATTCTTATCAAGAGATTTTGTGAAAATGTCAGCTAATTAATATAAGGTATCAACATTTTCAGGCACAATATCACCTTTTTGAACATGATCTCGAATTAAGTGATGGTTAATTTTAATATGCTTGGTTCTAGAATGTTGACTTAGATTTTTGGTGATATTGATGGTACTAATATTATCACATTTAATGAAAATGTGATCCATGGTAATTCCAAAATCCTCTAATTGTTGCTTAATCCACAAAACTTGAGCACAATAACTATCGACCGCTACATATTCAACTTCGATTGTGGATTGAGCAACATTATTTTGTTTATTGGAGAACCATGATATCAGTATATTCTCAAACAATTGACAAGTACCAAAAATGCTTTTTCTATCAATTTTGTAACTGTCAAAATTCGCATTAGAATAGACATGCAAAGCAAAAAATGTACATTTTGGATACCATAATCCTAAATTAGGGGTGTCTTTAAGGTATCTAAAAATTCTTTTGACAGCAGATAAATGTGATTCTCTAGGTGATGATTAAAATCTAGCACACAAATATATACTAAACATTATATTATCTGGTATACTTGTAGTAAGATATAACAATAAATCAATCATAAACCCATATAATTTAGAGTCAACACATTTACCTCTATCATCTTTGTTAAGTTTTATTAAAGTGCTCATAAGTGTTAAGTAAGTCTTTGATTCTTCCAATCCAAACCTTATGAGCAAATCCTTGATGTATTTGACTTGATTGACAAAGGTACCATTTTTTATTTACTTTACTTGTAATCCCAAGAAGAATGTAAGTTCTCCCATTATGCTTATTTCAAATTCACCTTGCATAATCTTAGAAAATTCTTGACAAAAAACTTCATTAGTAACATCAAATATGATATCATCAACATAAACTTGCATTATGAGAATGTCTTTTCCTTTTGTTGTAATAAAAAGTGTAGATCAACCTTCTTTCTATTAAAGCCATTTTCAATTAAAAATTTTGATAATTTTTCATACCAAGCTCTAGGAGATTGTTTTAAACCATATACAATGTTTGTCAATTTATAAATATGATTTGGAAATTTAAGATTTTCAACACTGAAAGGTTGCTCTACATACACCTCTTCATTTATAAAACCATTTAGAAATACACTCTTGACATCCATTTGAAAAAGCTTGAAATTTTTGAAACATACAAATGCAAGCAACATTTTAATGGCTTCTAACCTTGCATATGAGGCATAAGTTTCATCATAATCAATTCCTTCTTCTTGACTATACCCTTGAGCTACCAACCTAGCTTTATTTCTAACAACATTGTCATGCTCATCATTTTATTCCTAAAAGCCCATTTGGTGCCTATAGTAAGATGATCACTAGGCCTAGCTACAAGATTCCATACTTAGCTTCTTTCAAATTGGTTCAATTCCTTTTGCATTGCCAATATCTAGTGATCATCTTCTAAGACTTCATTTATATTCTTGGGTTCAATATGAGATAGAAAAGTAACATAATTACACATATTATAAGAAGACCTACTTCTTACCCCTTGAGTTGGATCACTAATAATCTCATTATCTTTTACATATCTCTTTTCTCTATGATGATTTGGTTCTTTTTATATATATTGTGGCTCATTTAGAAATTGATCATCTTCCTTTTGAATGTTCTCGTCAATGTCATGTGATGCATCATTGATATATTCTTGAAGCATACTTACATCATTATCATCAAGAGGTACCTTTTTCAAAAGAGGATCAGATTTATCAAAGATAACATGTATAGACTCTTCAACAACTAGTGTTCTTTTATTAAAGACTCTATAGGCTTTTGAATTCAAAAAATATCCTAGAAAAATCCCTTCATCATTTTTTGCATCAAATTTTCCAAGATCATATTTTTCATTATTCAAAACAAAATATTTGCAACCAAAAAGATGAAAATAACTTATGTTAGGTATTTTTCCTTTAAAAAGGTTATAGGGTGTTTTCTTCAAAATTATCCTAATCATAGCTTTATTTCTAATATAACAAGAGGTATTTATAGCTTTTGCCCAAAAATATCTAGATAAATTATTTTCATAAAGCATGGTTCTAGCCGTTTCTTCTAAAGTCCTATTTCTCCTTTTAACTATCTCATATTGTTGAAGAGTTTTAAGAGCAAAAAAATTGTGGCTAATACCATTTTCACTACAAAACATATTAAAGCCAAGATTTTCAAATTCTTTTCCATGATCACTTTTAATGCTAGAAATTGAATAGCTTTTTTCATTTTGTATTTACTTGCTAAAAGTGATGAATTTTTCCAAAACTTCATTCTTTGAATGCAAAAAGAAAACCAATGTGAATCTAGTAAAGTCATCAACAATAACAAACCCATATTATTTTTCACCAAGACTCATTATCCTAGTAGGACCAAAAAGATCAATATAAAGTAGTTGAAAAGGTCTAGCAGTTGAAATATAATTCTTACGTCTGAAAGAGATTTTTTTATGTTTTTCTTGAGCACATGCATCACAAACCTTGTCATTTTCATATTTCAATTTTAGTAAACCAACAACCAAATCATTTTGAGAAAGTTTTGAAATTACATGCATACTTGCATGTCCAAGTCTTCTATGCCAAATCCAATTTCAATTTTCTTTTTGAGCCATAAAACAAACGTTTTTAAAGGAAAGATCATCTAGATGCACTACATAAATATTTTCTTAATGATATCTAACAAAAATAAGTTTGTTAGTTTTGATATCAATTACTTGACAGCACATGGATTCAAACACAACTTTAAATCCTTCATCACATAATTGACTAATACTAAGTAAGTTATGCTTGAGTCCTTTTATAAGTAAAACATTTTCAATAGTAGTAGAAGAATTATTACTAATAGAGCCAATCCATTTAATTTGGCTTTTAAAGTTGTCACCAAATGTAACATCTCCTTCATTTTTAGCTTTTAACTCCTTAAAAAGAGTCTTGTCTCCGATCATGTGTTTTGAACATCCATTATCAAGGTACCATGGATTGTTCTTGCTTGAATTTGCTTTGTAGCAATATTCATCCACCTACAAAAATACAATTAAATTTTTGTTTTGGGTACCCAAACTTTCTTGAGTCTTTAAGTGTTAGTACTAACAATTTTTGTGCCTTTTAAATCCACTTTATTTTAGTAATCTCATCTTAAGATGTGCTAACTCCTTTTGGAATCCATACTCTCCTAATGAGCTTACCTCTATAAGTGACTTTCTTTAAGGAATAATATTGTATAGAATGACCCAATTTATGACAATATGCACATATGCTAGATGAATCATTTGATTTAACAAAAAAATTCTTTAAATGAGTCTCTTTGTTGCCACCATTATAGCCTAATCCATCTTTATCAAAGAATGCTTTTTATGTTTCAAACATGTCATTGAGTTTTTTATGTCCCCTATAAAATCTAGAAAATGAGTTATGCAAATTTTCATTTTTTTTAGTTAAATCATTAACATTCAACTTTAAGAGTTCAATTTTTTTTTTCTAAGTCATCCTTTGCTTTAGTTGAAAGTTCATTTTTTAGTTTCAACTTATAGATCATTTTCCTATATTTCATATTCATGTTTTCAAATTCTATGACTAATTTATCATAAGCATCTTATAATTCATCAAATGTGTATGAATTTAAATTATATAGATTAAAAGTTACCTTATGCTCATCAAGAGTCATGAGACATAGATTGGCTACTTTCTCATTATTTGATTCATTATCGAAGAAGTCATTATCACTCCATGTTGCAACCATTGCTTTCTTCTTTGGCTTTGTCATGTTTTGCTTTTTTCATAAAGGATAATCAAATTTAATATGACCCGATTTGTTGCATTCATAACAAATAATCTAATCCCTTTCTCTTCTACTTGATTCTTCTTTAATCGTTTTCCTTTGTGGTCTTTTTCTACTTGCAGACTTGTTCATCTTCATGAACTTCTTGAATCTTTTTGCAAACATGACTATCTTTTCATCTTTATCATTCCTTTCTTGTTCAAGATTTTCTTCATCTTCTTGAAAGGTTGATTCAAGAGCAATGCCACTTTTCTTGATTAGTTTTTGTCTCCTTTTGAGCTTCATCTCATAGGTAAGAAAAGAATCATTAGTTCATCCAAAGAGAATGTGTGAGGATCTTTAGACCCTTCAATGGCTGTCACTTTAGCTTCCCAGCTCTTTGGTAAACTATTAAGAATTTTTTTCACTATCTCCACATTTGAGTAAGTTTTTCCAAGAGCTTTTAAACCATTAATGATATTGGTGAAGTAGTTTAAAATTTCACTAATGGTTTCATCTAGTTTCATCTTAAATAACTCATAATCATGCGTAAACATGCCAATTTTTGTTTGTTTCACTTGATTTGTACCTTCATGAGTGATAGCTAACTTGTCTCAATTTTTTTTTTTTACATTTTCACACAAAGAAACTCTATTGTACTTATTAGGCCCTAATGCATAAAAGAGTGTATACATTGCTTTGGTATTGAGTTGAACCATCTTTATATCATTGACATCCCATTTACTCTCTTGCTTAATTATCTCTCTACCATCCACCATCTTCATTGAAATTTAAGGACCATTTTCAATGATCATCCAAACTTCATAATCATTGGCTTGAATAAATAATCACATCCTAGTCTTCCAATAGGAGTAGTTGTCACTAACAAAGAAAGGATGTTTTACGATTGAATGACTTTCACTTCTAAAAGATATAGCAATTATTTCATTTGTCATGAGACATACTTCTTGTTGCCCATTGTATTTATTGTAGCTTGAGGATGATTATTTCACATTGATCACCATATTTTTTGAGCTATTTTTAGGATCACTCTTGGGTTGTTAGATCTATAAAAAAGAATACTAACTTTGATACCAATTGTTAGCTCAAAGATTTGAAATAAACCAAAAGGGAGGTGAATTAGTTGATAATAAAATTTTCAAATATCAATACTTAATAAACACAAATTTTGCAAAATAATTTATCTAAGCAAATGAACACAATAAATGAGAATAAACTAATAATCCTAAAAATAAAATATAGAGATAGAGAATTAGACACCAAGATTTATAAAGGTTCGATCTTTTCTTTAAGCACCTATGTTATCTCTCTTAGTCTCACTTGCCAAGAAGTTGAATCCACTATATGTTAAGAGTTATAACCTAGCTTATCAAAGCTTTACACAATCAACACCGCAAACTCTTAAGGGTTATCCTCCCCCTTAAGCTCACAATCTTACAATACAAAGTTTCTAAAATGTTTTGTAAACTTAAAAAACCTCTCTAAAGTTAGGTGTTTGCTATCTTGAAGTACAAAACAATCTTGACAAGAAGATTTAGAGAAAAATTGATACAAAAATGATTTTTTGCACTTTTCTCTTTTTAAACTGATTTGAATGCTTGAACAAAATGATTGGTGAAGGTAATAAATTCTCTTAGCTTTTCATTCTATTGATTTGTAGTATGAGCCTTTATTTATATGTAGAAAGGAGTAAATAGCTGTTATCTTTGCATTTCATGCTTCAAACCTACAAAATATCAAACAAAAAATAATCGTTGGGGCTTTCTGGGCATCAAAAGATCGATCCCCTCATATAGAGGATCGATTGGGTCAGTTATATGAAAGCCCAATTTCATGCAAGAAACCACATACCTGATCAATCAGGTAGTATACTTAATTGATCTAGTGCTTGGGTGATCAATCCCCTATATGGGGGGATCGTCCTTTTAGTTGATTTTCAACCCCATTTTACATTCAGTATAAAAGATAGATCAATCACTTTAAAGGAATGATCAATCGAGTAAGTTCAAACCCCAACCAATCGATCCTTACAAGGAAAAGATCGATTGGTTCTTGATGAATTTCTACGAGTTTAGCTACTGAAAGAAAAATGGATTGATCTCTTTGGCCAGAAGATCGATCGGGTAAAAGACGAGATCGATCCCTCCTTTTAGGGGATCAATCCCTTCTATCAAAAACATTCCTTAATCCATTTTGTTTCAAGAATTTGTCTTATTTTAGTTCCTAAATGAATTTTACAAGATAGAAGGTTGAAAAAATTTTCAATTTGAGATTAAAAGAATTTGATTCAAGTTAGGCAAATTTTTACTTTGTCAATTCAAAACTTTTAATCAATTCAAGTCTAATATGGGCCAAATTTAGAAATATATTGTAAGTATCATTTAGGTCAAATTTAAAAATATTTTCTTATTTAAAAATTTTTAAGAAAATCAATCATTCTTGATTTCTTAAAATTTTGTCATCAAATTTACTTTATTCTTATTCCAAATTTTTTTTTATTATTTCTAAAATTTATTTGAATTATTATTTACTATGTTTTGAATTTCAATGCTAATTATCATTATCAATACTGTATCTAATTTTGTCACCATTCTGACAAAATTTTTAAAAGATTTATCATTTAAAAATTATTAAAAAATTAACCATTCTTGACTTTTAGATTTTCAATTATTAAAAATAATATATAAAAAAACTATTTGAGTTTATTTATTTATTATTTATATTTTTTTAATATCAAATAATAAAAACCTTTTTCCCAAAATTATGCATAAATAAATAAACAATGAAAGAAGAAGAAAAAAACCAAATAAAAATAAGAAAGTAAAGTACCAAGGTTGGTTGTATGCGCGTGGGCCTCTCAGTGCTAGCTTATCAACTCATTTTTATCTTTAGGCATCTTGTTTCTTAATCGCCGTTTTATCTTCTTTTACTTTTTAGTCAAAGCAGAATAAGACTCATTCTCCTTTACGACCCACGTTCACCGTCGAGCATGACACACCGGCAAAAAATTCTTCTCCTTTTCTTTCTCTCATTTTTTGTTTCTCCCTTGCCTTGTTGACTGAAGCTATTTAAAAGATCAAAAACCTTTCAAAGCCCAAGCTGCCATTGCTTTTATCGATCTCAGCGTTTTCGATCATCGGAACTCACTGTCCTCTTCATCGGTTTTGTTTCAATGATTGCTTTTGATCCTGTTGAAGTATGGATGACTAGTTTGAATTATGAGTGGATTTGATGGCTATCTGTGTTTTTGGGTTTCGCTTTCTGGAAATTGATTTAATTTGGGACTCTGATTACTGAATGGTTGGTTGGGGAAATTAAAGATGGTTGAACGGTGAGGGTGGGATTGTTTTCTATATGTGGCTTTGGCAAACAATGGTGATGGACAATGATGGTTTTGGGTCCAAGTGGAGTATGGCTGATAGGATTCGGTCTGGTGTACAGGCAGGGATAGCAATATGGCCATTGAGTTATAGTGGTGGAGTGCCAATCGAGAACTAAACTACTGGCTTATTTAGAGGAAAAAAAATTAACAGAATTTCAACTCGATCAGGATAAATTTTTTTAAACTAGGAATTATCACCAAAATTTTATCAATTCCTAAAGTTATCAAAACCTTAGCCACAATTTTTTTAATTTGCGGTTTTCCTTTTTTTTTTTTTTTTTGTAAGATAACAATGAGCAGAAAAAAATCTAGATAAAATAAAATAAAATAATAAAAACAATTCAATAAAACAAAATAAGATAAAGAATAGATAAAAATAAAAATAAAGTATATATAATTAATAAATGAAATAACAATAAAAATTAGAATAATGATAAATACAGAAATAAATAAATATATTTATAGATATAAATGTGGGTTTAAAATTGGGTAGGATTCAATAACTAATTGAGACGTCTACAGTAACAAAAATTCAAAAATAACCAAATTGGATGATGGTCTAATTTAAAAAAGCATGTCACACAGTTAGCCCAGATTGTTATTAATGAAGCCTATTGTACTCTCAAGTAGAGACCAGAACCCTTAACCCAATTTTTTATTGAAAATGACTTGCATTTTACATAATCCCACGCCCCGCTTACAAGCAGTGAACGTAGCATTGTAATAGATACAAAACCACAGTATATGACAAAACTTAGATAATACTATGGTTTCATTCTTTTTTCTGACATTCGTACAAAATCGGCTTGGTTTGAAAGTTCAGCTGAAATTTGATCACGTTTGGATTTATCTGGCTCTGGACAACTGTATAGCTTCTTGGTCTACACTTGAATCTTCACCCCAAGTAAACTGGTGAGAGAAAAGCAAGAATTCTCGATTCCTTACTTGTTCAAGCTCCTCCCATTTAGCCCATCTCTCAGCCAGACCAACTCCTTCCAGCATTTTCACCACTTCTGACATTGTTGGGCGGTCTTCAGGTGAGCTCTGAGTGCAGAGCAATGCAACTCGAACAATAGTCTCCACTTCTTTAGGATCATAAATCTTCAAGTTTCCATCGACAATGTCATCAATCCTATTTTCTCTCAGCAGCTTTTTAATCTGTTAATATTGCATTTCCATCAACTTAAAGAATCCTCATAAAAGGTACAAGTTCAATGATACATATATATATATATATATGTCAGAAATTATTTAATACAAAAGGATGACACACGTCCCACTTCTTTTTAAAATTAATTATTTTAAATATAAAAGGGACATGTGCTATCATCTTAACTCCGCTTATGGATCTCTCTCTCTCTCTCTATATATATATATATATATATATATATATATTCCTTACATATCCATGCAATATTTATATATTCAGGAGATACTAAGCACTTGCATTACAACTGTAATTTTTAGATAAACAAAATGGAAATGGAAGAAAAAGGAGAAGTGTGGAGCTACATAGGCAGAAATGACAAGAAAAAATTGTAGGTTCTATGACTAATCAAACGACAGTGTTGGAAATTAGCAAAACAACATTTCCTTCCAAGTCCCAAACTAGAAGAAAAATAAACTTGAAACTAATGCAGCATACTTCATTAACTAAAAAGCACCATACTTCATTATACTAAAATTTGACCAAGGACATCATGAATGGTACTTATGCTCAAAACCAGTCTGAAAAATGAAAAAGATGGACATGTCAATTAAATGCATAGAAGTTTTTTCTTTTTTCTTTTTTTCCTCTTCTTATTCAGAACCACGTGCTGATAAATTTTTTCCTCAAAACTACACAACGCCACCAGCATTGTATCTTTTGGGCAATATTAAGTGTAGCAATAACATATATTTGGCTCCCTACCACAAAATAAGGCATCTGGAGGTTCTATTTTGAAATAATAGATCTTTATATATATATCCTGAGCACTATGAAGTAAGTTTGCTATACAGTTGCAGACATAATTTTTTTCCGCGATTAGAGGGTTTTACATGCCAAGAAGTAACACATTTCCAGGATAATGCTGGTTAAACAGATTTTATAGCAAACTTACTTCATAGTGCTCAGGGAGAAAGAAAGTTTTCTTTCAAGCAAAAATTCAACAAGGAGAATTAGTTGGTTAAATTTTCATTAGCAAATGAAGAACAGGATTATGAGTTTAAGTATTTAAAATCTCACAGAGTAAATGTTTTATGGGGTAAAAAAGAGAAATACCTAAAAGTAAGAGACAGATTCACAAGCCAGGATAAGAACTAAACCAAAATCAAAATCAAAAACTTCCAAGGTCACAAAGCAAAGTCAGTTGTGGCAGAGATCAGATATTCATAAAAGATTTAGAGAAGGGTGAACCAATATAAAATCTTACATGATCAAGTAGAAGAACATCCTCTTCCTCTTCTAGACGAGCAAAATCTATTGCACGCTGACCAGTAACGAGTTCCAGAAGCATTATACCATATCCAAAGACATCTGTCTTTTCAGAAGATTTTCCCGTGGACAAATATTCTGGGGCGATATGACCCATGGTACCACGCACTTGAGTGGTAACATGAGTCAACTTACTATCAACAAGCTTTGCTAGCCCAAAATCTCCAAGAACAGCTTCAAAATTGTCATCTAAAAGGATATTTGCAGCTTTTAAATCACGGTGTATTATCTTAGGATTGCAATGCTCATGTAGATACTCCAAACCATGGCCTGCACCGAAAGCTACACGTTTTCTCATTGGCCAGTCCAAGCCTTTCTCTCCAGGTTTTAAATCTACAGAAAATTTCAGGTGTAAAATATGTAAAAATGATCTATGACTGCCACAAGTACAACTAGACACTTCAAATTAAGTTAATAGTTGCTGTAAATAAAATATAGTTAAGAGTCTCAACATCTTCTGTGGTATTTTTGTCCTGCTTCTTCTCTTATTTTACTTTTTCATAACATCATATTAATAGTTATCCTAAAGGATCCTAAACATCATTTTCCACCATGACTTCCTATAAGTTGCATTTCTGCTTACCTTTACATGGTATTATATGTACTTCCAAGGATCATAATTACATATTTAACAACCCCACCCTTGTCCTTCCTCCCCTAGCTACAATTATAATTTTGTCCTCCATTTAAGGCACAAAGTTAAATTTAGAATAAAGTAAAAACAAACATGCATTGCAAGATGGCAAAAGATAATGGAAATCCTATAGGACAAGTACCTCTAAGTTGATATGCCACACTTAAATTTTGCATGAATGGATAAACAAGTATCCTTTCAGATGATGTTGTACAGAACCCAATCAACTGTAGAAGATTCTTATGCACAGCAACACTTATGAGCTCGACTTCCCTCTGGAATGCAGCTTCTCCACCAGGGCTATAATAATCTGCAAGGCGTTTCACGGCAACCTTAGTGTTGTCAGAAAGGACACCTTTATAAACCTTTCCAAACCCTCCTTGTCCAATTATGTTGCACTCATTGAAATTGTCAGTTGCAACTTGAATTTCGTGCCATGAAAATCGCCTAAGCTGGCCGAAGGAAAATTTGAGGTCATCTTCACCTAAAATTTAAAAATTGGAAGTGTTAATTTCTATAAAATGTCTTATATGAAACTAAAAAAAAAAAATCAAATAGACTTTAGCAGGATTCATATAGTGTGCACAATGAGAAATAACATGCATAATTTTGGAATGTGATATCTACCCCTATAATGTTGACTTTGATCATGGGATGTGTAAAGAAAATTATGGAATGATAGAGAAAATAATGGTTGGGAATTAATATAATGATTCAGAAAAGAATATTGATTAGTTTACAAGTATGACTGTTATGATTTCTATATTTCTGATAAGTCATAAGGAAATAAAGGGTAGTGAGGCGTCTTACAGACAACAGATGGGGTTGGTTAGCAGACATTGAGAAACAAGTTGACGAATATCTAGCAGTTTGGAATGGGTCGAGTAACTGATGAAGTTAGACCTTACACCAAGTCTAGTGCCCATAGGGAATAGGGAAAGAAGAAGTCGCAAGGATTCCCTGCTGGGCTAAGGAAGGGTTCAATGAATTTGCATATTTTTGGAACAATTCCATCATGGAAAAATTCCTGCAGTCAATAGAAAATGTGGTGGAACAACAAGATGTCGGGATTTTTTGCAGAAAAACACGAGGAAAGGTCATTTGCTCTTCTCATCTTAAGACCCAAGGACTGATGAGGAGAGAGATGGAGACTACAGACAATAGTGAGCAAAAGACACTGAGTGATTCTTATATTACGGAAGTTAGTGCACTAGAGCTTAAACGTGGCTCCTTTTTGTAAAGTCAGGACATGGGATGGACCAGGGGTGGGGAGAGCCCCTTTTAGCAGAGCTTGAAAAGAGTTGATAGAAAGTCAAAACACAAAAGCCTAAGGTGCTTTTGTACTGGAATAAAAGCATTTGAGTTTACTCGTTTTCATCTTCTCTACTCTATCACAAAGTTGTGATTTTATTAGGATTATTTGATTTATCTTTTGATCAATTTTGACTTTTCTTTTTAGCATTTGCAGCCTTTCTTTTATTTTATAGCATCTTTCATACAGCAAAAAGAAAAAAAAAAAAAAAAGTAGCAAAAGCAACAAACCAAAACATAGCATAAATAATAGAATTGACTACTAATTTTCTCTTTACAAATATTACACCTAACTTAATACATGATGGAACTTCGAGAGTGATCAATGGTTGCTTGACTTTACGAGGATTAGTGAAGCTCTCAATCTATTAAACCTTGATGGTTGGGTCTAGGACATGGAAATTTCCTTCCATATTATATATGAACATTCAAGATTACAGAATACATGTTCTTCATCCTGCATACCTTTGCTTTTGAAGTTTTAAGAATTTTTAAAACATGCTAACAACACCCCCACCACTCTTTATAACTATTATCTCTGACAATTCTTACATCAAGGACATGATTCCATTCATATTAGGATCTTCTAGAGCATATAATCCCTTTTTTTTTTTGTTCAATTTTATGCAGCACATGTACGTTTGCATTGGCATATACCCAGTAGGCACAATTAGTTGTGTTTTGTCAAGATTGATATTTTAAAACCAAAGGTATGAGGAAGCTAACTACTCCATTTAGCACTTTTAACTCATCAAATCAAGGCTTCAAATGTTCTAAAGTACTATGTGAAAAATACCCATTCTCATGGAAAGTTGCTACATGGACTATAAGCCTAAAAACAAGGTAACTGCTCTTGGAATATGGGAAAAGACCATTAATTAGGAATTTTTTATGTTGAAATGGCATATTTTGTGAATATTGTAGTTGCAAACAAAGACTAAATTTTATGGCTGAATGATCTTGGGGAAGAAAAAGAAAATTACCTGCAACATCAACAAAAACATCACGTGTAAGTTTGTGGACTTGATTATACCGGAACACAAAGAGAGCCCCAAGTGATAGAAGTATGAGAGCAGCACAACTAGCGGAGGTTACAACAATTCTAATTTTGGATCTGTTGGTTGAAACTGCCAAAACATCACATGTTCAAGCACACATCTAACACATTTATGAAATTGATATGGTAAAAATGTCAGTCTAGATAACAAACCAGGGGATGTAGTGGTTGAAATACAAGGCTGTTCCAAGCTTGAGCCACAAGCAAGATGTGTTCCTGTGAAGCTGAAAAAATAACACTGTCAGTAGGAAAAAGTAGCTTGTGCAAGTTATCTAATGTGATGCTACAACATAAGCACAAGCAAGAAATGCCAAACATTTAATCTGATTGACACTTTGCATTGACAAAAGCAATGTGCAGAGACCAATGAATTTCAGAATATATTTGCTCACTTGATGCTTGTAAGAATTGGAATTAAGTTAACCTCTCATATTAAAAGACTACAATTTGAAGTGGAATATTTATATGTGTAGTTTCTGGTTGGTGATGGACTAAATAATCTAATTCTCCGCTTAAAAACCATTTTATAGCACCATTCACAGCAATTACATTCAAAAAACAATAAGTTCTTTGAGTTTTCACATCTTTGCAAATTCTTTTGTATCTTCCTGAAGCTTTGACATCTCTTTATTTGGCATGTGATTCGTGGTGTTGCTAGCACGACTCTGAAGTCTAATGCTGACTGATGAATCTCAAGATAATTCAATAATCTTGGAAGAGTCCTCTGTATCTTTTATACTAGAATATTTTAAAGCATCTCAAATCTACATTGTTTTATGAGCTTGATTAATGGATAATCTACAATATCTATCATTTCAAAAGCAACTGTGAATTTCAAGAGTGTCTTGAAATTGGAAAAGCCAAAAATTAATGTTTATAACTTATAAGTAAGCAATCAGAAAGACTTTATATGTGATATCACATAATATGCCAGAAATTTTCAACAATCTAGTTATTCATTAAAGATAAAATTCTTTCATCTTCCAAAAGCACACTACTGAAAATTAGGAAACATTTTTTGGACAAAAAAAGAAATTAGGAAAAAAGTATTTCAAACATACTAAATCAGCAGTAGTTTCACCATGGATTGATGTTAATATTTTCTTACTAGAAAATTCTTCCTACTTTAGGAAGCAAAGATAGCACTATACTGTAATATTTAGCTAGAATTTAAAGGAGATAGAATTTCTTATGAATTTTACTTGAATGTTGGAACCAAAAATAATTGCCTTGGAATTCTGCCAGTTAAATTGTTGGATGAAAGATCCCTGTCAAATAAAAAGATTCGTGAGTATGACTTGTTATGTCAATTTAGCTTACTAGCGAAGACCAAAAAAGGGACTAAAGTAGAGAAATAAAGACCACCAGTACAAGATCTAGATACAGGCTCAATACTGTTTATCAGACAAGAATTTTATGATTGGAATGAAAGCATATATAAATGTTTCCCCTAAATACTAAAACTTATAGAAAATAATAGCAAATCCTGTTCTAAAAATGTTGTCGAACGTATGAAAAAGCATTAGTAAAAGTGACAAAAGTAGAACTAGTATTCTCTTCTTTGCTTTTGAGAAAGGGAAAAAAAGAATTCGACAAGAAGAATAAAGCAGTCTTACAAATACTTTAAATTGGATAGTTGACCCCAATTTGCAGGAATAGAACCACTGAATTTATTATTTGCAAGATTCAGACTTTCTAGGTGCAACATTTCACCAAGGAAATCAGGCAACAAACCAGATAGATCATTGTTTTGTAAATCCCTGCAAAAAGGTAAACTGATGTTTTTAAGACTCTCATTCACCACCATGAAACATAAATTAAAATTCTACTGAACTAAGTACTTAAAATTACAGTATGGCATGAGACACAAGCATATCATAACAGAATTCATTGTCCACAAGGCAAGTCTGGTAAAGTTCAGTTCTCAACAAAAGCACCTTTCACATCAAAAGTTTTGCTGTTTCTTTCAGTTTACAGGAACCAAATCACACATAAAGAGAATGTTACTGAATTTTACCAAACTGTTTATGATGCTCAATAACATCACATAAATTGAAAACTTATGACAACCTAAATAAGAAAAATAAATCACTAAAAATTCTGACGCACTCAAAAGCATGTTCCATCTCCATTATGCAGATAGAACTGAAAGACGGAAATATGCCTCCTGCCATAAAGTATAATAGTTGAAATGATAATAAAGTATTGCGGAATTAGTAAGCAAAGCAACTTTTCTTTACAAATAATCAGCACTTTAAGAAATGTTTCACTAGAATGGGGAGAGGATGCAGCTTTAATGAATTATATTCAATAGATGACTAACACTCTATTACACATATACAAAGCAAGAGAGAGGAATAGAGAGAGAGAGAGAGAGAGAACTAACAAATTTCCAAATCTAGAAGCCTGCAAATTTGGAAATGAATTATGTTCAATAGAAGACTAACACTCTGTTACACGCATAAACAAAGCAAGACAGAGGGAAAGTGAGAGAACTAACTAATTTCCAAATCTAGAAGCCTGCAAATTAGGAAATGAATAGTATAAAGTGAGAAAAAAGGAGAAAAGATTGCCCAGAAGCCTGGATTACTCTTTCCAACTAAATGTTCTAAACAGCCAAACACTATGATTTCTATTCCCAGTATGCTCCAGAGCAACTAAGCAGTAACATCTTACCAAAGGACTGATACCTGGTCTCTATCCCTCTCCAACGGGCTGGAAACTTCAAAACCATCTTCAACCATTCAATATAATTCAATGAATGCTAAAAGAAGTAATATTCAATGGAACATGACTCATAATAAAGTTAACAACTAAGAAGAAGTGTACACTGTGGTCAAATCCCAATCACACCAGCCAAATTGGGGAAACTCTCTCATACCTACTCAGTCGCACAGCTTTAAAAGGTAAATTAAACTCAAATGGTCAGTACTACTAAGCCTCCAACCGAACATGTCAACCTAACCATCAAGTCAAGAACTAGACAAGCAACCAAATATGATCTTCAACCCTAATATCCCAGCTATTGGTTCGCAAAGCCAAGTAAAAAAAAAAAGGGTTTAACCTTTAATTTGCCAAGTTAATTATGTTTTCTTATGAGCTCAACCATGCTCCACTTGCTAGCTTTACCCTTTGACATGCAGAAAATGTAAAGAAATCACCAATTACTTGAGGTCTTTATCATGAAGTCCACATGTCCATCAATAATATACATACTTCACCAATACATTCATATTTTAAATTTCCAAACCACATAACTAACATAAAACCACATTTTATGTATATATATGGGGTGTGTGTGTGTGTGTTTGTATGCATGTGTGTCATCAACATGTTTTTCCTTTTTTTTTTTTTTTGAGACAAATACCTATTTCTCTTTCCATCGCTAGAATGCAGTATGCATACATTATATATCATCCTCTTACATCAACATTTACCTCATATGCAACAGATTCAGAGAATGCTAAGGAAGTTAGCCCCACCATACAACAACATTATAACTTACAAGTTAACCAGAAACTTCAGTTTCGTAATTGAAGGAGAAAGTGTTCCTGAAAATTCATTTGAAGCCAGGTTCCTGCCAATTAATAGATTCACTGGTTATTTTTGTTGTTGTTATTACTATTAAAAAATTGAAGACATGGAGTTAGCTTAGGTGATAATTTAAAGTAGGGTCTGGACGAAAGATCTTAGCTATACCAAAAGTAGATTGAATCACAGTTAAAGCAATGAAAATCAAATATAATCCGTAAGAATAATACAATTATCAGCAAATAAGAAAGTATTTCATAAAAAAATTAACCATAATTCAATTATCATTCAAACAGATGGACTTACAAGGTTGTGACATTTTTATTCCTACAGATGACATGAGACCAGCTAACGCATGGACTGACAAAAAAATCATTCCAATCAGTTATATGACCCCTGGAATCATTGAGAACCTTGAGCAACTCAATCAAAGCTTCTCCTGAACATTTGCAGAAATACAAAACAGTCATTAAACATGAAATATAGACAGCCAACAAAAGATGGCAGCAAGATCATAAATAATAAAATGCTTAGTGAGATTAGCAAAAAAAATGAGAACCAGATGTTTGAATGTTTGCCTGTGGCTCTATACCAATGATTGTTGACTTATGCAGACCCAAGGGTTTGGACCAACTGTTGGGAATTGGATGATTGTAACATGTTAAATAAAACTTGGGATGTAATTGTGCTGCTGTTGCAGCATTCAACAACAACAACAACACACTAAGCCTTATATCCCATATTCTGCTTTGCAGCATTCATTAAGACAAAACTGTTCTAGTAATCTTTTTATATGAATCATCATTACTAAGAATAGAAATATAATCTAATCATGGATATCATTACCAAATATTAATTAACTCCACCAATGAATTACCTACTGGCACTAAAATGATATAAAATATACAATGCAACTAGCCATTTACAGGAGGCTTTTTAGACGCTGACAAATAGCTTATAACATGTATTCAATTGTTTGGACTACCAGTACTAACAGAAATTTCAGATCACAGTTTGGAAACTTGAAGTGAACTCAACAAAGACAAAAAAAAAATACAAAATCAACAATGAAGAAATAGTGTAGAGACCTCTTTGTATAATAAATGAGGTTGGAAATACTTAATATTTATTTTAAAATCAAGCCTACAACTACAAGGTACTATGATGAGAAGCATATGGTTCTCGGATAATATCTGGTCCCTTATGTTTTAAATTTATCATAGGAGTTGGTTTTTAGTGGTTTGTGCACTTTAGGGGTGGTGATCAATAAATTTCAACAAGTAGGAATTTATTCATAGTCAATTTCCTTGTCAAATTACAAATATGTTTCAATAAGATAATGTTACTAGTTTTTCTTTTCAATCTAAGTGCCTACATGTTGCTATTTTGTTTATTACACCAATAACCAATGTATATTAAAGGAGAAAATAACAAAAGTTCATACATAAATAAATCATATGGGTTGGAGGGCTCTATGGATTATCTAGAAAAGTTGAGTTAAAAGTGAATTCAACCAGTATCTGATGGAGTTTTAAGACACTTGATATTAATTTGCAAAAAGAATATTCCATTTTATACATGAGGCTGTGTGTGTCAAATGGCTGGTTAGGAAACTAAATTAATATATGGAGGCAAAACAAAAGCTTGATAAAATATAGAGGGATTATTATTCTATACATTGCAGGTGGACTTTTAAACTCCACAAGCAGGGATAGATGGTGATCATATGTCCATTTAAAAATTAATATATTATTAATTTTCATAAATATACACTAATGGGACACATGTCAACTCTCTAATCCCACATGTGGAGCTAAAACCTCTAACTTCAGCACCAGCATATAGGATAATTTACCAATATAGAATCAATTAAAAGCTCAAACAAATCAAGAGGGAAAATATCCAGGGCAGTAATGCAGTAAATATGGAAATGTTTCAAACAGAATTGCAGTGAGTAATAATCATTGTTACTATTTCCAATATCCTTCTGCATGCACAGGTAATACATAAGCTCATTCTAGAACTGACCATATTCAATAGCAACAGAATTTCTTTTTCTATCACCAAATGAAAGATAATATTAATTTAAACAGGAAACCCACCAAATAAAAACCAAAAATAGCATGGCACAGGAGAATTCAGAGCATCACATTACCAGATTACATTCATAATAAATTCAAATCATCAAAAAGACTCAAGTTACAGTTACCATACCCTCAACATCAGGCTGCTTGGATGAATAACTGAATTTTATGCAAAGCAGTAGGAGCCAGATTGTAATAAGCTTTAGAGCATGCCATTTAGGAAAAGCTTCAAAATTACAACTTCCTTTATTCTCCCAGGAAGATGGACCCAACAACCTCTCAACACCTTTTAAAAAAGCAGGTAACAAGGAAATTATTTACTTTATACCAAACTTACAAAGAAGATAACTTACTTTTTTTTGCACATACAGGCCAAACTAGCCTTAGAAAAAAAAAAAAAAAAGACATCTCTTTTGCAAACAATAGGACATAGGGGGCACATCAAATTCATGGCATGATGCAATTACAGCAAGAAATTATATGTATGATATATAACTGGAGTTAGTTATTAAGTTGTTTTCCATCTTACCAACTCAAGAAACAAATGTTATGTTTTAAAGAGGATCAAAGAATTCAGGTTAACAGGTAGTACAGACACCACACGATTTAGTTAATTGCATCAAAGTCCTTGACAAAGCTTAATACGTTTATTACACAAGTTAGATGGCATGACATGGTTAACACATTTAAAAACAATTAAATTTTTAAATGTTTTTAAATATGATACACTTAATCAACTAGACATGACTAACATTAACATGACTAATAGATTATTTTATGTCTTTTAAATATTAATAATTCAATATATGAGTTTAAATGGGTTATATATATGTTAAGTAATGTGGCTTAATCTATTACTTCGAGTAATTAAATGTGTAAAAAATGTCCTCTATGGGTTAGGCAAGTCAGTTTGCATGGGACACAAATATTTTCTTGTTATGAACAGCTTAAATGATTATAATATGAACATAATTATACAAAATTCAAACTTGAGCAACTCTTGTCATGTTCAAAATTGAGTAGTTTCAAATATGATGATTACTTTATTTTAAAAAATTATACTAAATAAATAGTGTATAAAAAATTTTCCAAAAAACCAAAACATAAAAATTATTTGATTAACATCGTAATGAAATTTTTGTTGATGGTAAAAATCAAAATGAGAAAAAAAAACAAAAAGAATAAAAAAAGTTATTGTTGTTATTAAAGGATAACATTGTAAAAAGAGTAATCCTATGAAAAGAGAAAGAAACACGTACTTTATTATCTTGGATAAACAATTTTTTTGGATGCATTTGGACAAACAAATTTACTACACTATTTAACTCACTATTGTACTATTCAATAACTTGTTAAAAAGTTTTAGGCCTAGTTTAATATCATTGTTGAAAAACTACTATTGACTTAACCTCAATCCTAAACAACAAAAAAAAAAAAAAAAAATTGTGACTCTTCAATCAAAAAACTTGGTTTTCAAACCCAAACCAAAAAGCTCTTTAACAGGTGCTTTTGTGGTGAAAAATGTGTTTAAGATAGAAAATTACTATATTATCCCTATATTTCTAATATTTTATTATTCTATACATATCTTTTTAGACATTTCAATTAATTGATAGCACTTTTTCATAGCAATATCAAACACTTAAAATTTCCAATCACAATTTTTAAACACAATTTTCACAACCCAAACTTTCTTCAATCATAACAGCAATGCTAAACTAGCCCTTAATTTCATATCAATTCAATTGCCATCTAAGGGTCATTATTTCAAGAACAATATCTAATGGCTATAGTAAAAGGACTGCATTTGAAGAAATCCTTACTATAGTCAATACCATTTCCAATTTTCACTATGATATTCTTTTTGGAACATGATTTTCACTAGGGATTGAACCAAGGGTATGTATGAAATCATGATGTTATGATCAACATTCAATCCTTTTGTTAGGTTGTTAAGATAGCAAAATGTGGAATTAGAATAAATTTCATAATTTTTTAGCTTCATTAATAAAAAACATATTTTTGGTGAAGTTATTAATTATATCCATATATAATTATGATACATGCATATAAATAAAATGCATATATAGATATATGTTGGAGTATTTCTTAAAAGTCAATTGGATTTTTTAAAAATACTCATGTTATATTGGAGATTTCATACCTAATAAAAGGTCTTTATTTATCTATAAGCTTTCACATGTATTATTAATGCTTGATCATAAATCATTGGAATAAGTTTTGCAATGGAATTACAATAAGTTATAATTATGAGATCATCATTGCATCAAAACTATATTCCTTAAATGTTTATAGCCACCGCCTTGTTAAGAAATGATATTGATAAAAGTTGTTGAGACCGACACATGGTTATACTTTTACTTGTGAAATAAGCAACCGATCTCATATATCCAAATTTGGATAAACTTGAGCAAACATGTGGGTGCTTGTTATAAGAACAAGTTCACTGAACATGACTTGATATGAGACTCTCATTTGATAAATCACTTGAATGTCTATGCAACATTATCACATGATAATTGTATAAGCGATACTTTGACTTGAAATTACTAATGATCTTCTATAAGAAATGTTATACTTAGATATTTTATTACTTATGGTCCTAACCATGGATGGTCCAGGCAATAATGTTGGGTATAATGAGACATATGAAAATACATGTAGTAATCAATAAAAGATTCATCACCTTGAGTCATCGGTAGCATATCTCATTAGTCTTGATATGAATTAACTTAAGAAATCTTTAGTCAAAGTGGAATGAAGTTTTCGAATAGTTCTTAAATTTATGCAAAGAGTTAATGTCTAAACCCAAGACTTAATATAATTATTTATATTGAGTAAACACTATTTATATTGAGTAGACGCTAGTTCATGCTTAATGTTAAACCAAAATATTTAGTGATGAAAAGACAATAATTATTCTGAGAATCTGAGAGCAGAAAGGTTAGTCAAATCTTATTGAATTTTTCTTAACAATGGGTAGTCATGACTCATGGCTACAAAACACCCATGATCTATAATTATAACATAGATTAATTAGACAAGTAATGATGGAATCAAAAGAGTTTGATTCATCTAATGGGTCACACACATATAGAACGTGTTAGGGAACCTAATGGGTGACACACATATAGAATGTGACCTAAGAAAGATTAAATTGGATAAAATTAAGTTGGACTTAATTAAAAGAATTTGTGAAATTCAAAAGAATAAATTAAAAAAATTAAAAGTCCATAAGAAATAGTTAAAGGCATAAATCCTACCGGGAGTAGGACAAGGTTGGATGCTCCTTTATTTAAAGAATGCTTCACCGCCCCTTTCATTATCCTATTCACTAGTTTCATGGTTTGAGAAAAACCTAGAGAAAATTAGAAAGGCGGCTGCATGCCCTGCATACTACTAGAATAATATTCAGCCAAGATCTTTCTCATCCTTTAAGAAAGCTGTTTCACTCCTTGTTTTTGTGGACTTTCATTAGAGGCTAGACACTTGGACAACTGAAGGTTTAGACAACTTACTTAGCCTTGTGATCTTGGAGGGTTTGTGCTTGGCACAAGTCAAGAATATTTGTAAGCAAAATTCTACTCTTACTGATTCTATGCTTGTTGTGTATTCTGAAATCAATGTTTTGTAAGTTGAAAATTTTTAAATTCAGTTGTGTTTATAAAATAATTGCATGATAAATTTCCAACTAATTTTGAAAATGGATAGGTTGTTTCAATCTTAAAGTAAGGTAATTATTAAATAGTATCATGATAAGCTAATAATAAGATTCAAATCTAAAGTCACTTACAACAAAAAGGTGGTATCAATTAATTTAGGCAACCTGATATTAACCTTGGTCCTTTGACTTAATGATATTATTAATGACTTAATAAATTTGATGAGGTAAAAAATTAATGATATTAGAGATAGAAAAAGAAAAATATTAAGAAAATATAAAATATAGGAAACATAATAAATATTGATATTTTATTAAAAAAATTAAAAATTTTCACATATTTCACCTCTTGAAATAGAATTTGAAATAAGAATTTGAGCCTTCCAAAAATTTTCATTCAAATTCAAAGAATTTTGAAAATTCTAATTTTTATTTTATCAAACAAAATATTTATATTTTAGTTAAAATTCTCTCTATAAATAAAATCTCTGCTTAAAATCTATAGTCAAAGTCCAAACACACGCTATTTTTGTTTAAAGCCTAACAAACAAAATAAACGATAGTGATATCCTTTTCACTCCACTTTTTAGCCACTTCATTTATATTCCTCTCCTTTGGAACTCTTGAATTTGGTAAATTACTAGGACAAGGAGCACATCTTCGAGCTAGAACAGGAAGTGTTTGTTTAAATGCGAAAGTGAATCCGTCCGAATACAACAGTGGAAGAAAGTAGCAAAATACATCACAGTTGATACAAAACCATGACAGTCATACTAACCAGAATATCAGTTTTCGGAAATCTCGCTAAACCAGATATATTGTAACATGCATTAAACCAAAATCGTCATCATCTAAAGGGATAATAAATAATCAAACATGCTTTCAAAAAGAACAGTTAGAAAAAAGAAAATAATAATAAGAGGAGAAGAAAGTAAATAACATACATGATTTAGAAGCCATGAGTGCCGCAGCAAAACCAGGAAACCATGTGAAAACAAAAAAGTGCACAAGATGACAACAAGAAGTCGAATAGATAGATATTATTAAGACATGGTGATGGGCTACAAACAATACCCAAGATAATGTGAAATGAGTGATGTTTTTAGTGCAGGGTCCCCACCGAGCACTCGATTTGATTAAAAGAAACAAAGAAAGAAATTCTGACAAGTGACAAGAGCAGTCCAACGGCCAGTCAGTCATAACCAATAAATATATGTAGAATAGAATATATTTGTATGACCCAAATAAAGAATAGAATATATGTACTGAGTTTATGTATGGGGAATTTGGTTTGCATTTTGGAAGGTGGGATGAGAATGAGAATCCCACTCTGCTTTATAATGTTCATGGATTAAAGTAGTTCAATAATTACTATTATCCACTTTCTTTGCTTTTATTTTATGAATGATATTATAATAAATAAACGGGAAAGGTGTAGGCAGATGCTGAAAAGCATATCCATATCTTTATTTTGGAGCGTCGAGTACCGAAGTTTCCACTGATATTATTACATTCTCCTGTTGATTTCCTGTTTCCTTTTGTTTTGTTTTCTTTTCCATGACAACAGCATTCCCAAAACATACACCCGAACGGCCAGAACAAGCCCAGGCGAGTTTTGAGCAGTCATGCGCCCACGCCTTTTGCCAGGCGCACATCTATATCTATACCATATGCTGGGATATGAAATTTTTTTTTTTAGATGTCCAAATATTAAATTATTTTTTATCCATCTAATATTATAAAATTAAAATTTTATTCTTTAGTTAAAATAAATTAAAATTAAAATTAACATACTTTAATAATCACTTAACATTTTGGGTTTTTTTAAATTAGTCACTTAAATATTATTTTTTTTGTTTGGATCACTAATGTTTAAATTAACATTTTTTTAATTATGAAAATGTTAAACAATAACGATTGTATGATCTGATATTACAAAAATTTAAAGTTTGATGATGTGTCACATAAAATAATCCAAATGTCATTGCTAAAATTTTACATAAGTTAAAATTCCATGGGTTAATGAATCAAATTATATTAAAATGAACTTAAGGCTTTCGGGTTTCTAAAATGGATAAGGTTTGTGGGATTTTCGTTGTTTAGGTAGGAAATTTAGGGTTTAAGTTGCATTTTAGAGAGAAGAGACTATGATTTAGGGTTTAGGTTGTAATTTAGAGAAATGAGGTTGTGATTTGGGATTTAAGATTGATATTTAGAGAGAAGAGTCTAGGATTTAGAGAAATCGAGAACTAGGGATCACAATTTTGTTGTGTTTGGGGTGGGTTTGAAATAGGGTTTGATCTTATGTTTTTTCAAGTGGTGTAGGATCAGATTAGGTTATAGTATTAGTGTTCGTTTATGATTTGGCAAGTAATGGATAAAAGGAAGCTTTGAATGGGAAGGGATGTTATGCTTATGTAAGGTAAGTGTTTAACTTATTTTAGTTGTTTGTTTCGTTTTTGTGTACTACTTAATGGACTAGTTTGAACAGACTAGTCTAGTTTTGAGTATTTAATATGGTTGTTGTAAATAGACTTTTATTATGCTTTGTGTGGTGTTGAGTGTGATTTGTCATTTTTGAATGCTTATGTTCTGCTTAATGTGTTAAGTTTACTTATCCTATATTGTAGAGGCATGTGAAGCTATGTTTGGTTTTAACTGTTTTTTGAGGCATGTTTGTTGAATTGTAACCTAGTGAAGATTATTTAATTATCACTAAAGCTATTAGTATATTACAAATTAGTTTAAAGCTATTAGATACATAATAGTTTTGTACTTTATGCCTAAATTAGATTAATTTTTTAATTAATGTTTTGAAATTTGATATTCTTTCAGAGCCTAAATCATATCACTTTTTAACTATTATTCATCATAATGGTAAATTTGAGTATACTCCTACTATAAAGTGTATTGAAATGAGGATTGATTACTTTGATTTATGTCATGTAGAAGCTATGTCCATACTTGAAATAAATGATATGACTGAAGAGTTAGGCTATGTAGGCTTAACAAGATATTATTGGAAAATGTTTGGAAGGGCATTTAATATTGATTCCGTTATACCTTTTTAAAATAGATTTTGATGTTATGTATATGGTTACAAGCATGCTTAGAAATAATTACATAATGTTTACTTGAAAGATGGGTCTATCATTGATGGATATAATGTAGATGGTAGATCTGTTAAGGAAGAATCACAAGTGAAAGTTGCTTCAGACATTGAAAGCAAAATAAAAACTAAAGCAGAAACAAGTTGTGAAGGTGTTTGCTCTAATTTAGAAAAAGATGAAGTTTTATTCAATGAACATGAGATGATAGTGATAGTTCTTATTTGATTTTAATGAGAATGACTATGATATGTATGATGATGTTGATCATGTATTTAATGTTAATGTTGATTTAGGAATTAAGAGTGATATGAGTAGAGGTGATGAAACTAGTGTTGGAGTGGATGATGGGTTAAGTGTTAGAGCAAGTATTATAGTGGTAGTTGGAAGAGTAAGTGGTGAAGATGAAGATATATGTAGATATGAAAAATTAAATTCTTTGCACAGTGCGCATGAATTTGATTCTAAAAGTGTTAGTAGATAGTTAGAATTCAACAATGAAACATATATAGTAAATCTTAAGTTATAAAAAAGAATGTTGTTTGCTAATAAGGAGGTGTTTATAAAAGCCATAAGGCAATATAAGAGAATAAATAGATATAATGTCAAGTTTAAAAGGAATGATAAAAAAAGAATGCTAAATGCAATGATGGGTGTCTATGAAAACTGTGGGGGCAAAATTCAATACAAAAGACCTATTAGACCCTACTTGACAAATCAAGCTTATATCCTTGAACTGATATACCTTAAAGACAAAGAAAATAGGAATATGACTTCTAAGTGGATAACTCAACATTACTTTCAAAAGTTTATGATTAATTTAAAGTACTCCTTAAGTTCCCTTTAACAAGTTATCATGACAGACTTTATGATTCATGTGTCATTGACAAAATGTTTCAGAGCTAAGTAGAGATCACTTGAAGTTGTTCATAAAAATCATAAAGAACAATATTATAAGATTTATGATTATTTGGAGAAGCTCAGGCATAGTAATAAAGGGATCGTTACAATATGTTACCTAGAGTGCAAGTTGTTTAAGAGGATATATATTTGTTTAAAAGCATTAAAAGATGAGTCCAAAATTGGTTGTAGGCATATTATTAGCCTTGATGGTTGCTTCTTAAAAAGGTATTATGATGGACACTTATTAGTAGCTATTGGAATTGATGCAAATGATTGTATCTATCAACTAGTGTATGCCACTAATGAAAGTGAAAACTTTGAGTCTTGGCATTGGTTACTACTTTTGCTAAATAATGACATTGAGATTACAAATTCTTATCATTGGACTTTTGTGTTAAACAAATAAAAGGTATGAAATTATTTCCTTAATTTTTTATTATTCGCTTTTAAATATAAAATTAAGTTTAAGGTTGCTAACTATTGTTTATAGACCTACTGTTTTATAAGTACTTGTGGATACACTTTCGAACATTGTACTGAATGCTGAGCACAGAAACTATGTTAGGCATTTATACATAAATTTCAAGTCAACCCTTGAAAACAAAGGCAAGGCATTGAAGGATTACTTATGAAAAGTTACTAGAGCTACCTAGGCTTATCAATTGATGCACACAAATGGCTTAAAGGAAAAGTTCCAGTTCATTAGTCTAAGTCTTATTTCTCAACAATGGTCAAGTGTGACAGTTTGTCATAATGTATAAATTTGTGAACCTATCACTAGACATTGATTTAAGGATTGTCTCCATTTTTTTTTTTTGTTTAGGTGAAATTAGCCACCTAACCGAATCTGTTCTATTTTCAAAAGAAATCTCAAGTTTGACTTAGATATCTTTAAAATGGTAAATTCTAGTCTATGAAACCAAATTTAAGTTCAAGATTGTGATTATACATGAGAGAGGTTATAATACCTTCATAGCACCCACCCAAAGGATGGTACTAATTTGATTTCAAGTTATCCAAGCCTTAAAATACCTTTGTAATTTTACCAAATAATTTAGTTATTAGAAATTGATCTTAAAATTACTCCAATAGTTTAGTAGCAATTTAAGATAATTTTCTCACCTCAAGAATATTCATGAAGACTAGTGTCTTACTCTGAAGAGGCTTAGTTGTCAAATTTAATAATGTATTTTTGAAAAAATTAATTATTTGAAAACAATCAATAAAATCCTCCAATAGTTTGGTGGGATTTTATTTCAATGCATAAAACTTAATAGTTTGGTGGAATTTTTATTTGAAAACCTTTCGAAAAAAAGTTATTAAATCTTCCAATAGTTTGGTAAGATTTAACTTGAGATTTAAATCCTCTAATCATTTGATCAGATAAAAAAATTATTTTTTTTAATTCATTAAATTCTCAAATCAGTTAGTAGTACTTAGTTTTATATTTGAATCTCTTAATCATTTGGTAAGATTGAAAATTTTATTTTTTAATTGAATGAGATCCTTCAAAAGTTTAATAGGATTAATAATCAAAAATATTTTTTTAAAAAAATTCATAAAAATTTTTCAATAGTTTGATATGACATCATGGATTAATTTTAAAAAATTATTATTATTTTTTTATATATTTTAAAATATCTACAATCAATTAAATAATACATAATAACATAAGATAAATAAAAGCAAAAGAAAAAAAACCAGTTACTGGACCAAGTCTAAGTTGAGGTTCAAAACCAATTGAGCTTGTAATGACTCAAGTTGAATTCTGATCAGGTTTAAAATGATGGGTTGGCTAATTGGGTTGACTATTGGGTTTTCAAATATGGTGTATGGCCTAAAAGTAAATAATGGGTCGGGTCTTTAAGATACAATTCCTTTGGTGTAAAAATGGCACCGTTTGGTTTTTATCTCCAAAATCAGCTTCCGTCTCTTTATCTTTCCTTGTCTCTATCAAGCTTTTATTCTTTCAAACTCAGCCAAAATATCAATAGCCTAACCCAAAAACCAGCATTTACTACCACCAAGCTATCCACCATTTGCTGTTCATTACTACCTTTTTGCATTGCTATCGATGCCTATCATCATTGTTCTTCTTTACTAATCACTAACAATAACCCCCTAAAATCTTCACTTCCTCTCCTCCTTTAATTGACCAAACTTCAAACACTAAAAGGATATTTTTCCCAAATCCCTTCAACTCTATCGATTTTTTTTACATAAAACCCTTTGCTGAAATTTGCGTTAGG